ATATTAAATATTACTTCGACCTTATGAATACAATTTTAATTGGATTCATCAGGAAAAATATAACTATTTGCCAATCAAATAAAGGATTATACTATAGAAGATATTACGTAGAGTTCGAAAGAAACATGTATTTCTAACCAATAGAAATTTACCAAGCAAAGTTAAAAAAATTACAATTTATTCTGTTTTAATATAGTAAAAACTTAAAAAAGATTTACAGTTTTAAATTTTAAAGTATATCCGAATAGCATGTTTAATCATGTTGAAAAACATAGTTTACCAGCATTTCTGAAAGATTAATTTCAAAACGTAATATTTTCCTAAGAGGAATAACTCGATGAAACCGCATTTTGTTAACAGCTGAGGAAGTTTCTCAATCTTTATCGCGTTTATTAACTGGAATACTTGGTAGATGCAAAGACGACGTGAAGGGAGCGAGGCGGTCAGCGAGGCATCTCTGCATACTTGTAGCTTTGAAGGCGAACATATTTGCTTTGCGAATTAAAAGGCAGGAATCTGATATACAAACAGAGTCCGTCTTTGATTGGGGCGTCTGACCACGCGGTCCCTAAATTCCCCGATAAGTTAACTTTTGATAAACCGACGCTGTAGAATGTGTTCAATGACAGAAGAACCTCTCTTTGTAAACCTACACTGAGGCTTCACCCCCCCCTCACTTACGACTCCCCCCCCCCTCAACACATGAACACTTGGCGAAATGTTACTACAGCTACAAGACAGGAGTGACGTGTTTTTGCTTAAATGCTCCCCAGTGTATCCATTGTTTGTTTAGAACACCTAAAATGATTTTAAATTATATCCTTCATTTTGTTTCCATTTTGTTACTAATATCCCAACTACGACTAGGTAAAAACCTACTAGTAACGTTGTAAATGATTTGTACGTGATGTATTTACCATAACTGCTGGGTAAACGTTTAGAGTGATATACCTACATTTTCAATCTATGTTTCGTCTCTAGACCTACTCATACAAAACAGCTGGATAGTTGCTGGATTGTAGAATACAGCTTATTTGGTTGCCAATTCAGTCCTAAGAAAACTCTGTAATGTGTTGATGGTGCAGAACTAATACAGCTGCCTACAACCATTGACTATTGGCTACAGAAGAAGACATCCCATCTATATGGATCAGCTGTCACCAATTTTTTTACAAAAAAAAGAATGTAGTTGTGTGAGCCAGTCACAGATTGCACTAGTGTCTAAAACTCTGTTTTGTACCTTATTGTTTTGTTACTGACATAGTTGCTGGGTCACAACAGTTGCTATAGCTCATAATAAGTCAATCAATTAGTTTGACTTGGTAAAAAACATCGTGTAGTCGGCAGAAATTAGTAATTTAGATCAGAGCAATCTGTAGATGGCTCACATCAACTAAGACAAATTTGATTAAAAACCTGGCTACAACTTTAACATGGGGATGGAATGTCTAGTTGTTGTATTAATAGTCAAAGCTACAACTTAATTAAGCCTAATGCCTGTGATCATGGGTCTATAATTAAACAGTCCTTAGTGGGGTTTAGTTATATCGCTTCTTTCATTTGATTTATTCAACACTAGCTGATGTACCCGTGCTTCGCAACGGAGAGGACTCCGAAGAGAAAAGATTTGATGTTTAAAGTTGTTATATGAAATAGTTACACATCCGTCTATGGTTTCAAAAACAAATTTATATTGGACCTCTTAGTAAAAAAATATATCCTTCTTGAAATCTAGGCTAACTTATAAGGCTACCTAGTACGAATTATTATGGTGCTGATGCATGTATAAAAATACTGTACTCATACAATTTATTTTTTAAACGATACGCTTACTTAAATGTTTTAAAAAACAGTTTATATTGATTGACATGTTTTACCCTGACTACTGAACTTTTCTCATGAATCTTTACCCGCAGCTCATCATGTAAATATCACTATAAGCAAAACTAAAATTATGGAAAACTGTTATAACTTTTTGTTGGAAAGCCAACCCCTATTATTGTTAATCAGAGCACAAATTTCATTAATGTAATTATAAATCAACAAAATATAATACACAACAGTTCTGATTTTTACTTATATTAATATAAGTATAATGCAGTATAATAGCATTTAATTACTAGTTACATGTTGGCAAAGTTCTGTTTGGTATTCAAATGTATTGTTATTAGTAATCTATATTGAATATATAAATACAACGTTAAAACATAGTTCACTAGACAAAATTCAGTGTCTCTCTTATATTAGTTAAATTTTAGAAAAATATAAATTTTGGTACAATTACGGTTATAAATAGACCAATTTGTCAGATTTGTTTAAATTTTAACAACAGCTACAGTAATATTATCCTCTGTATATTTCAGTCTATCTACGTCATCAAAAAGGTTAAAGCTATACACAAACAGGGTTTGAATGAATACCAACTACGAAAAATTGTAAACATAATTTATTCTCACTTTTATACAATATTACACATCGCGTATTGCACATAGGGTTTATCATCAGAAGCAACTTATATACAACGAATAAACATAACAAAACAAACTTAACAATTAATTAAAACAATTACAGGCGTATAAATTAATTAATAACAAGTTAAACAAATTATCGTTTCGGAGAATGCGAAAATAAAGATATATCATGTTAAAGCACAACTTAAATATTACAATAAATCTAGTTTTTTTTATATATAACAAAATATAAACTTAAACTTGCAGCTTACTTTTAGGATGCATTATAAATATTCGCCATGGATGTTAAACAAACTGTGGAATTCTGGTAACTTAAGTAAATGCATTTTTAATTATTTTATTTTTCACGAAAGTGTGTTTTTTACTCTACATCAATGAACTAAGAATATGGAAATTTAAATTTTCAATAGAAATTTTAATATTTTCTTCGAGTTTAAATAAACATACCTTTGTGTTTTAACGAAAGCTGTTCTAAAACGATCTGCAGACATCTTGGCTTCGTATACATTTGTTTAATTTCGAAGTAAGAATGTTGTGGTATGATTTTTAACACGCAAAATGAGCCTAGACATGTTTATATGAAAACTTGTAGCAAAACAAATACTTTGGAATACGTATACACCAGGCCCATATTAGTTTAAAGCAACATAAAATTATAGATTGAACTTTAACCAAATAAAAATATTGTTATAAATTAGAATAAAAACTAAATTTGGCAGTATTATGTAGTGTTGCTATACATTTCGAACAAATCTCCGTTATTAGGCCAGAGTTTAAGCATAGACAAAACGAATTTAATATACATATACTGTCAGCCGTGCTGCGGTTACCATGGTTATCATAGGTTCTGGCGCACACCACTGGGAGCGCCGTGATGTTACAGCGTACGCGCTATGTAACTACACGGTGCTCCCAGTGGTGGACGCCAGAACCTATGTTAATCGCAGCAGGGCGGGTGGTCTATATTTCATTCTTTTTGTCTATGGTTCAAATAAACAATGTACAGAGTCAGGCATAACAGAAAGCAGTTATCTCGTGTAGAAGTCCGGCTGTGTAGCTGATAGGGTGACCAACCTGTGGTCCTGTTGTCATCGGTTACTCATAACATTTCTGGTCTAGACCAATGTGCCTAACATTGAGGATTTGCAGGGTAAACAAAATGTTTAAACAATTCAGTGAATGTGACGCAATGAGCCATCCGCCGATTGTTTGTTTTTTTTTTCTCTTAACGACTCTGTCCCTAGTGTGGACACAATGCAGTTGTTGGTCAAAAAGCTGGAAGAGAGTACCACTCTTAAAACTGAGAATCACAGACGGCTAAGATTTTTGAGAACACTGAAAATGTTAGTATTGGTTGGGGTAGTTAAGCTGTAGCCAAGAAGCTTTAAGAAGAGGTATGGTTATTGCATTAGGAATGTTGGATCGAAGTTTGAGAATAATTCTCAAACTGTAAATGCAATCGATACAAAATAATTTTTCCCTAAGAATTTAGAGAACCTTATTGTGATTAGATTAACACAGAAACTTTTTCGGGATTGATTTGCGCAAGCATTCAGTGATCTTGCCACTCAACCAACTCTGCTAATCTAACGAACTCAATATTTTCTGGTATTCTTGCTGATCTTCGTTTGTCCGTGTGGACCTTTTCCGTTAACTCACTGCCACTAGTCTTTAGAGTAATAGATTATTAGCAATAAAAGTAGTAGTAATTAAACGTTGGTTAGGTAAGGTTAGTATAGAGTTTGGCACAGAGTCAGAAAAACCTAACCTAACCTAACCTAACCACATTCCACTAGTGGTAGTGAATACGGAAAAGTATATAGTAGTTCGGAACAAAGTCGTTGAGTAAAATAGAATAAAAACCCGCTAACATTTTTAATTCACTGAACACTTGTTGATTTGGAAATATTTAACCACTACATAGCCTGAATATAGCCTGACCTAAATTATAATGTCTACTGAAATGGGAAGAGTGACTGATGACATCAAGCCCAAAAGCGCCCGCCTATCACCCACACAACCAGAGTACCACAAAAAATAAAACTGCTTAGTCCGTTTTGCCCACCCTGTCTTAAAAGAATATCGCAAGTATTAGATAAAACTCTACACGCCTCTGAAAAATTACAATAAACAATTACGGTTCACAATCGGATTGGATTTGGTTTAGAAGACGGGTCTATAACACTCATAATTTCCAAATTGTCTATGGTTGTAACTTTGTACAAGCGGAAACAACATATTTTAATAACTTAAAACACTTTACAAAATTATTATCCAGACCATTTACGTGCCTGGGGTCCATTGTTTCTGGTAACGATAAAATTGACTGTGAAGAAGGTTTTAAATCCTTATTATGTATATTTACACATGTATAACGAATTTTTTTCATGCCTTTAATATTTAACCGTGTTTCGACTTCAAATATTTTTTTGTAATTTGTATTTGAATATTTCTGTAGTTAAAAATTACCATAAATACCTTATGGTGCCATTCAGGTGCAAAGAAAAAGTGAACAAAATAAAATAATGTAAAATTAAAGTGTGGAAGCTGAAAAAGGTATATAAATTCGCTACTTTGACAAATTATTGGATCGTATTTTACTTTCTAATTTTTGAATGACACTAAAGTCGAATCCACGATGGATGAAATGTAAATATTACAGCAAGGATTTACAACCCCCTCAACAGTCTTTGGACAGGTCTAGGTCAGTTTTCACTGTTCCAATTGTCACTTTACTACACTGAACACTCTAGATGGCCAGAGGGTCACCCATGGTGTCCTGGGGTCAGTAGGGTCTCCAGACGTCCTGTCCTCGCCCGGAGGAGGGAGGGTCGTCCACTCTGGCCGGTAGTTGTGAGGAGGTGAGGAGGTCTGAGCCAGGCAGGGAGTGGTGAAGCTGGGAGTAGAAGAGGGAGGGAAGCACAGGATAGTGGGAGGGGTAGGTGGTGGCGGGGTTGTGATGATGGATGTGGTGGTGGTGGAAGGTGGTCGCCCCGTGGCCGTTGGTCTGGAGGTCGTCGTTCCCCACGGGTGACTCTGCCGTAGAGGAGTCGCTGAGTGACCGAGGGCCGCTGAGGAAGTCTGAGGCAGAGTACCGGGGAAGGGTGGTGGAGTTGAGGTTGTTGTGGAGTTGCTGCTGCGGCCCGAGGAGGTGCTGGTCCAGGTCACCCACTGGGGCGGCGTCTCCCATCACTACAACATGAACAACTCAATATCAGAAACTACTACATTTGGTTTCAGTTCAATTTCATAAAATGCGATGACCAATCAGCTCTTCACAACAATAGTTATCCTTGTATTTGAAAGTCCAAAAAATATTTGTTTTCAACCATCTCTTTTTTCATGTCCGTGAGACTACTGAAGCTTTGGATATTGATTAGCATTATTCAGGTCAGTTTACATCAATGTGTTTGATTCTGTGGTTTAGTCAACGTCTATAAAAGAATAATACTCTACTTGTTGTCAAACTAAAAAAATACTTACAATCCAATAAAAAGTATGAAACCAGCTATCGGTCCCTAAAAATGTAGTAATTCCATACACAATGCAATACGTAGAGTTCTTAAATATATTTCTGACTTATTTAAATTACTTCTTAAGTAAGCTACTTAACGATAGACATTGCAAGACTCACTGGACGATGTGGTGGAGGAGGTGTGGAAGGTGGTGTTGTTCTCGTGGTTGTTATTCTCGGAGTGTTGCGTCGTAGAGAACCCTATAGCCGGCGTGTTGAAGCCCCCCGTGGCGGCACAGCTGCTGAGCGTCCCAGCGCCGAGGTAGGAGGAGTAGGGCGTCGTCGCGCCGTAGCCGAAACTGGAGTAGTGGTGCGAGTTGTTCAGCCCGAACTGACTCATGTCTGGAACAAATATGATCAGGTCATAAATGATTGATGAGTAAGCTTTGAAACTGTAAAATCGAAATACTAAGGGTACAGAGGCAGCGACAAGTGAAAGAAATTTAAATGACTGGGAATAAATACAGGAACAGAATTGTGAAATGTATTTACAAATGCTATCAAAAGTCTCTCTGCATATCCAGTCCAATGCTCTAGTATATCATTACCGACACTGCCTTACAAGTGTGAGACGATGGATTGATGTAGTCAACTGGAGCCAACCATTTAGTATCTCTTAGAAAATAAGTATCACTTCACGATACTCTTTGAATATTTTGCAAATTTTAAGTTTATAATAATTGACAAAACTAAGATTTGATGTATTTTATAGAAGATAAGCTTTGTATACCTCTTGCGTATTTTTCGCACAGTAGGATTTAATAGTATTTAAAGGAAAAATTTAGTAATTAAGTAAATATAAAAGAGTGTACTCCTAAAACTAGTACGAGCCCTTCCCAAAGTATAGAGCACGTTGATTGTCAGTCGGCCCACCCACGTGACGTCACAGGATGTCATTTTAATCAACTCTGCAGGCCAGACCGACTGCGATGCATTTTTACCACGTTAAAAGCGCCGACCGTAGTTTTTAATATCAGCAAGAAATGGAATTTTCATATTGTCGTTGATCAGAATTCCGCTGATAAAATATAAGTGAAATTTTTAATCAGCGCCGGTGACATGTCCATCCGTTCACATCGGATTTTTCGCGTTTTTCCGTAACAGTTTTAATGAAAATATTCGGCGTCAGTGCAGTAAAGGATTTGGTAATTAATTGTTTTTCGCCCCCGGCGCTATCGACGCTGCAGTCTTTCTGCAACTCCTGACATTGATTTGTCCGCAGGCGTTCGTTCTGCTCGGGTTGTGTTGTTTATGTGCGGTTTCCATTGTTTGCATCCTGTTGTATATGTTCCAGTTTCGAATAAATCCACGGCCATTAGTTCCAAAATTAATCGCACGAGTGGTGTAACGGCTTATTTTAATGGCGCCTATCAAAGCCTTCTCGTGGTTGCGATTTGTATCTCTATCAGTTTACAGTTTTGAGAATCGTTAGCAATACTGTGTGGTTTGGTATTTTGGGAGTTTATAAAGTATAAAACACCGTAATGACTAATATTTATGGGTTGGATCACGCATATTGATATTTGTTACTAGAAAAAAACTACACAACGTTAAAATAAATACAGTAGGCTACTTTAAACGTGAGATATTAATTTCTTAGCAAACCTGATCATTTCTACATTCTGTATTTTAGGACTGATTCCCTGTGTGAGCTGTAGTATTTCACTTAATTAAATCATATCATAGCATTGGCCATAATATAATCTCATTGTAGTGAACGAAAAAATCCATAAGTATATAGTACATTTTAGCTAAATGTTCGCTCATCGTAATCTGATGGAGGAAGACACACGACAAACAAGCACACAAATCTTTATACATAATGAAGTGAGGCTGAGTCCAATTCTCCCTTTTAAGAACGGCACAATCTAATGCTATTGACTGGGACGGTGGCGTCGTCCTGTGATCCTATTACTAGGAGGTCACGAATTGTGGATATTTATAGGCCTGCACTGTGGATGCTATACTTCTCGGTGTGGATTAACGTCCACTCTAGTGAGTACTACGACTATCCGTACTACTATCCTGATAGTTAGACCAATTTGTTAGTTACAAGGGAAAATGTGTTTCGGATTCCACTATAAACGGTAGGTTCCTTTAGTTGCCATTGGCTGTATGGGCTAAAAGCTGTGTCTAAGGATCATGACCTTAGTCACTAACAAATCTTCAAGATCGTGTCACTCATCCTTCACTCATATTTGGGTTAAAATACGCACATAGTGGCGTCCCCATCATAGATAGTTGATTGAATGATTGATTGACCTTATTATTGTTGCAAATATAAGTGCTATTTCCAGCTACTCACTCTGACAACTAGACATGGTGGGCATCCTGAACGCCAGGGAGTCCGTGGTCCTCTGCAGAGGGTCGAGAGCGCTGCCGAAGTGTCCGGAGAGGAACGGACGTTGGCCAAACGCGAAGTGGAACTGTTGTTGTTGTCCTAGAACAGAAAGCACTGCATCAGCCTTGCCAACTGTCCCCAGGTTACGTCACTAGGGGTGGATAGTGATACGTCCAGTGACGTCATCGATATACAAACTTACTACTTAGGATGAAAAAAAAACAATTATACCTGGATAACTGAGTGGTTAAGGTGTTTGCTTAACATTCAAAAGGTCACCACTTTGATCCTAGTAATAGTAGTCCTCGAAATTTGATCATTACAGTGCGTTCAAACAGCCGTGGCACCTGAGGGATTATGAGACCCCAAGGGTCTCCATGGGGTCTCCTAATCCGTCAGGTGCCACGGCTGTTTGAACGCACGTAGTTCTTAATGGTTCGAAAGACGAGTGCATATAAATTTTAAATACACACCAAGATTGCTTTGCCATCTCAAGGGTAGGCCTAATTATAATAATGATGGTAAGATTTTCCCATTCAACATTATCAAGCTATGTCAATTTTGAAAACTGATAATAGTTCTCCAAAACGTGATAAAAATTGAAGAAATCTATGAAAATACGCAATACCTTACTGTATGCACCACGAAACCATATTCAGAGCCCAGTAATTTGTTACAGTTTGTGTACCCGAATTTTTATGTTTCGAATCTGAACCTAGCTGACGTTGATCATTGGGCTTCCAAAAGATGGTCATGACAAATTAAAGAGATGGTAGACAGTAGCAAACCTACACAAGGTATCTCACTCCATTCTACACCCCTCCTCTAAGGCCCGTCCAAACCGAAGCGGGAAAGCGGCGGGAGCGGGAAGGTGGGACGGATTCCCGCCCGGGATTTTAAAACACATGGTGTTAGATGTGAGCACATACACTAGAGCGGTCTCGCAGCGTTTTTCGACCGTCCCGCTGGTTTGAAACATGTTGGATTTCCCCGCTCGTACCGCCGCGGGAACACATGGTTACATAGCTCATTTGGTGACGAGACGTTAGAAAAGATGCTGTTCTTGAATTTCCTCATCTTTTATGAAATCCAGCAGTCCATCAAAACATGCGACGGTCATCCTCAAATAAATATAAAACCTCCTTTCGTATTTCCTTAGATCCGGCATAAGGGTTGTACTCGCCAAATGTATGTATATTTAGATTGATTTCATGAACCCAAACAGATCCCCGTCTTGAAGCTTCATCTTCATCTTCCGCTGTCGCTAGCAAGAGCACAGCTTCTTCTTTTACATTATTACGATTCATGACATGAACGCATAAAACACAAACATTCACTTAACACAACCACTCTGTAGCTAAGATGAAAATGAACTGAGAAGTCGTCCTGCTTCCCGCAGCCTGCAGCTTCGGTGTGGGCTACCTCTTTCCCGCCACGTATCGCTGCCGCTGGATCCCGCCGGTCATTTACTCCCTTCCCGCTCCCGCACCGCTCCCGCCACTTTCCCGCTTCGGTTTGGACGAGCCTCTACTCGTATTTGGGTTAAAATACGCACATAGGTAAATGAATATGAAAGTAATATGAATAATAATTTGATAAATTAAGGAAGTTTCTTCTTGTGATATAATTCTGCATAATTCAGCACAATATTGATCTAGTCACAGCAATCGGATAGAGGACTAGAATCTATCCTTAGAGACCAGGGTACGATTCACGCCAATCACCCACAAATGTCAATATTAGATGTATTAAAGCCGAGACCCAGTCGTTTGGAGACCATTCTCAGCTGTAGAAAGATATATCTATCATGTAGAAAAAATCAGTACTGTGAACGAGGATAACTGTCTAATATTGGATGAATCTAAATACGAGAAGCAATGCGATAACACGATCAACTTAGTTGATAACCTGTGTGATGAAGCAGGTCCTCGAGAGAGGATAGAGGTAGAGTGGCTACTTGTAGCATCTGTAGCAGATCTCGGTAAACACTTGAACTAGCCAACCCAACTGTTGGACTGTAGCACACTCAAATCTCCGTTGGAGACAGTGAAATGATCGTGTAATAAATTCACACTTAATTTATTTTCTAGGAAGAAGTGAAATTTTTTTATCCAATGTTGTGATTGATAATCCGAAATTTTTTTAAAAAACATGTGTTGTGTATTAATACCTAAAGATTGTAGGGCATAATGTACGTAGATATAATAAATACGGCTGTAGGAGAAACGATTGTATCGTAGATGGGTCTTAAGAGCGAGACGAAAATATGGTGAGTCAGGTCTTGAGAGCCTTTTTAGTAAATGCATAGGAAAATGTGTCTATGGTAAATTTTAGGACTGTATGCATCTCACATTCTTGTACAAATCATATTCTCTAGGTAGTGGACCTACCTTCCGTAACATCACAAAAGTCGCAAAAATACTTCAATAACGTCAACTTGTCATCACCTAATATAAACGTCACACAAGGGTCGTGGGTAAACCTATCCCGTGTATTTAGCAGCTACAGATTTCCTCCCCCAGACAGGTACTCACGGCCAAGACACAAGACCGAGCCAAGTCTCATAACTCACTCTCGCCGCATCATCTCACGTAAGCCGAGCTCATCTTACAACTGAGCCGTCGTGAGTGACGCGGATTACGTAGTCTAAGACTCAACACGCCGCCTCCGACAAGCGCCCCACCACCCCCACCACTGCCTCCACCGCCTCCACCACGGGATGTAACCGCTGACTAAAGGGTAACCTCTAACCCGAGGGGAGTTGGCGATCTCTTGTCATCGAGGTTCACCATGAAACACTATCATCAACTGACTAGAGGACCCCACCTCGTAGGAGGTCCCCCCTGGTTTGGGATCTGAGGAGGGAGGAACCTCTGCACTGACCAATTACTGATATTTTCAAAAAAGTATTTTCCACTAATTTTTTATGATTACAGATCCATTCAAATATTGCCAGCTTATGATATGATATGATATAGCGCACCTGAAAATGGCAATTATCTAAAAAGTGAATCCCCATTAGGGCTTCGCCCCCTTCACGTAATTGGGTATTGCACGGGATTTATTTTGCCTGGGAAAGTTTTGGACCCAATTAAACTGCGCAATTTGTGCACTGGTCCTCTCCTATTAAACTTAAAATAATGGATATTATCTAATAGAAAATTAGTGAGACGTTTCACTCTGACGTTACTGTATCTGGAATGTTGGTAAGTCTTATAAAAATCGATCAATTAAAATTACATACTATTACACAGGGAAATTTTTTGAAAAGATATTATTTTAGGTAGGTATATTATGCAGTACTTTTAAATCATACCAGTTCAACGTATGGCTGACTGATGAATTTTATCACCAGTTTGTCCTAACATTATCTGTCATGACAGTTAGTGGGATAAACTTCTTAAAATTCAACACGATATAAAGAGCGGTTATTGTTTACCTTAGATTGCATTTCACGCCATTCCTTTCAAAGGTTGAGAGTATTGTTGTCTATAGGCTCAAGTGGTGTAATTATAGTCTTGCAAAATTTGACATTAGCGATGCTGTGAGTTCGAATCGTCACCTAATACGTAAACGTACGTTGTACCGTAAACGGTGTGGTACATCGATAGCTCACCCCTTAAAACGTTTATTCCGAAACTGGGCTTGGGTAACCCACTGGTTTACTTCAAAGCTCTGTAGCAATCTCTTACGATGCATCGATAAAATAGTCTTATTGCAATTAATTAAAAAATTACGATTTGATAAATAATATCTAGACTATTGAAATTCATAAAACCTCCCGTTAAACGCACTCTGTCTTTACCCACCACCCGTTATGTGTAATCGTTGCGACAGCTGTTAATTTATCGGCAATGGCGAAGCTGGGGAGGTTCTCACAGAAGGGAGGCGATTTCATTAGAAAGTTGTAGGCTTCAGAAAGTTGTGACGGGCCACCACAGCAACCAGCTGTTACTTCGCACCGCTCCTCTCCCTCTGTCTCTTCCGTAGTATCGAGCTGTTAATAATCGATATAGATACGAGACTGGACACCTTACTTGGAAACACTGAGAGTAGATATTGTGAGTAAAAGGCACTACACAAATCGGAGCTTCGACGGAGACGTTAGGGGTCGGATTGCTTAGGAATATTTCGTTAAATCGATAAAACTTATTATAATCATATTTTACTGCACTAGGGTGTATTTTTGTAGTTTTTAAACCTTATGAGAAACATTATTTTCCTGAAAACGTATTCAAAACCCCTGTTTCTATTATCAGTGGTGTCCAGATTCGAACCTCTAGTATTTCCTATACAAAAATCACTTATTGTATACTTAGAGTAAGAAAAAACACCGTAGGAAAAAACCAGCAGTCTTCTATATGTATTTTTGAAGACCCAAAGAATATTTACGTGAACGTAAAACGACTTGAGTGTTGAAAGGTCCTCCAATCCTCGCAGCTCCTTTACAGCCGTAGCTCTAATCCTGCCTAATGCTGATCAAATCCGGTCAAGTCCGAGTGCTTTCTGCCGCCATTAATATTTAGCGTAAATCAGTCCCGCACTAAGACGGCTGCTTTGCATGCGCTCCAGCCTGAAGGTCCGGCCTAATTAATTAAACAAGCGATTCATTAGTGATTCACCCTTCACTCCAGCAGAGAACCTCACTTAATCCTTTCCTCCCTCCCCTCACGCGCCCTTAAACCTTAATAGTATTGCTAGCAACTGCTACCTTCAATTTGCTTACATTTCCTGAGCAAAGAGCCTTGAACCACCTTACTGCTTTGATAAGGAATTAATCCGCCTTTAACTCTACCAAAAAGATCCAGAGCGAGTGAATGCTTCAGATCGCACTTTAGGATTGAAATTGTGTAAACTATTTCAAATACACGTAAATATGAGCCGTTATTACACAAAGTATGTTTAAGCTTATTTTATTATTAGGTGGCTACCACATAGGGTTGATTTGTTAAACAAAAAAGATTTTCTGGTATGTATAATTTATTTTGTCATTGGTCGGTTAGACAAATGTTTTATCGAGGGGTGACACTAATAATAATCGCAAAAAAAGAGAAAAGAGATATTTCAATTATTTTTTATTATAATATTCATGCAATATCGTTTTAATATAAGTTAAATAATATTTATTGCCAGTCAATATATATTTGGATTTTTTTATGATCGTTTACGTGTACTGTATTAGTTTTGATTTCTAACTCAGTTTGATCAAACGAAAGAATTGCAAAAATTAATTATTTGATCTTCTCCCAAAATATATCCTTTCACATTGGGATGTTTGAGGTTTTAATCACTAAATTGAATGTGCTCGGTTACAGAGTCATGCAGGTCTACTGTAGGTTTCACGGTGTGGGTTAGAGGTTACCCTTCAGTCAGCGGTTACATCCGGCGGTGGAGGTGGTGGAGGCAGTGGTGGGGGAGGTGGGGCGCGTGTCGGAGGTGGCGTGTCGAGTCTTAGACTACGTAATCCGCGTCACTCACGACGGCTCATTTGTAAGATGAGCTCGGCTTACGTGAGATGATGCGGCGAGAGTGAGTTATGAGACTTGGCTCGGTCTTGTGTCTTGGCCGTGAGTACCTGTCTGGGGGAGGAAATGTGCAAGGGTGGAAAGGGACCATATGTATACAATGTTATATGTTACCCAAGCACATTAAATAATCTAACACAGATTATTGCCGATAGCGAATTTCCCATATAGGGAATCTATCTATCTATATATTAATAGGCAAGCATGTTTCTTTAAAACCTTTTTTCTCAGCTCGTGTGCATCGCAGGGAAAATCTACGCATACTGTTGGAAATATATTTTCCTGTAGATGTGCAGAATGCTTTTAAAAATTAAAATAGGCTAACAAATAAGAACAAAAAATGATTTTGAAAACTTCAAAAAATTAACATGGACCATATGGGTTGCCATGATGGTGACGAAATAACAACAAAATGTAAACAGAAAATCAAAACAAATGGAAGAAATTCCAATCACATGTTTTTTTTACAGTGTGGGGAGAAAATAGAGAAGTCTGTACATTAATAATTTTTGGTCGAGTTTCGACCACAGGACGACCACTAGTAAGCTATTAATGTAGGTTTCATGGTAAGACCTAGGCCTGGGACCGGTTTACTTTTTCGTTTAGAGGTCCCCAGTGGCCAAAAAAACCCTCCGCACAAATTCTTAATGAAATGAAACATACTTCATTCTATCAAAAGCACTATAATTTTGTTACACAGAGTTGTACAAACAGATGGGTTATCCCCCACATAGGCACAGCCTGTGTGTGGGGAATGTACTTCAGCAGTAGTCAAATATCTAATTTCATAGAAAAATTCATTAACAAATAAATTATTATTTTACATAGGTACTTTTGGAAAAAGAAGAAAGATTGCACATTGAGCTACTACAAATAAAAATTTTTATAAACTATAGAACTAGAACTATAGAACTATAGATATAGAAATTATATTTTGACGTAACATTTTAAGCCTATTATGGTATAAACGATCTTGTTTAATTCATACACCGATAGTATGCTGCTGTTATAGTGTTATCTTTTTTCACACTTAAACTTTTAAACTATTAATAACTGGAAGGGAAAATTTTCGGAAACTTCTGCGTATTTTATATCCTCATAAACTATTATCATAGTATGAGAACTTATAGATGAAATAGAACTTCAACAGCAGAATTCAATACAATGCACTTCACTTCACTATTTTCTCCTATTAGCTGATCCATGTAGTTTTAGATTGAATATTTCAGTATCCAAATTTAAATATATACTTCACAACCAAAAAGAATAGTGGTAAGTCAACAACATCTACGAATGGCTTAAACGAGAGATGCTTTAGAGAACCGTACCAGTATCTTTGACAGGTAAATTAGCTTGCAGACAATCACAACAAGTTCCACGAGATGTGCACGGAGTCAATCACAATAAGGTGGTACATATCTTCAAAGACCTTCCTTGTTGTTTACTAATTGGTTGACACACGCTGTGTATTAGTGTGTGTGTGTTAGTGAGCGTGTGCTGTATTGTGTGTGTGTCTGTGTATTAGTGGGCGTGTGTTGTATTGTGTGTGTGTTAGTGTCGGCAACTCTCAAAGCACCATGTTTACTGTCGGTCTATTAATGTCTCTTTATTGCCTGTAGCCCCCGACAAGTGTGTTTCATTAGACTTGCCCATCTCTATGAACGTACTTGCACTAGGGTAAATAGCCTAGTAACCAACATACTATCAATACTTATGGAGCGGTTGTATGAAAACTGAAGTGGCGATCCAACTAATAGTGGTAGTTGTGTATTTCTTTGTAAAATTTGTAATATTTTTACATTTAGTAAAGGGGTGCACAGATAGGTTTTGAAAAGGGTTACCAATTAATTTATACGAGAGGTCGTCCAGTGGTCGAAACTCGACCAAAAATATTTAATACTAGCTGTAACCCGCGGGCTTTGCCCCGTTTAACTTCTTAATTTTCAAGATGATCTCGTTCGCATGGCTCAATCACGTCCTGGTTGAAGTTCGTTCGCTACGCTCACTCACCTTTAGGTTGGAGCTCGTTCGCTGCGCTCACTTGCCTTCAGGTTAGCTCGTTCGCTACGCTCACTTGCCTTCAGGTTAGCTCGTTCGCTACGCTAACTCGCCTCCAGGTTGAAGTTCGTTCGCTACGCTCACTCACCTTTTGGTTGCAAATTAGCTGTTGTCATAAATGTAAAAGAAATAATAGTGCTGCACCCTGTTGGTAATCCTTGTAACTTTAATGCTATTGAACATCATAGAACAGAACCAACTTGTTTAATTGAAACAGCTGTTAAGATTCATTACTTCCATTTCTCATAAGGTTAACATGGGAAACTCCAGAGCCACTGGGGCGGAGCCGATTGGACGGATCGCGAAATTGATGGTGTATAAACCTATTCCATGACATTCTACACGTATGTACCAAGTTTCGTGGCAATCGGTTCAGCGGTGTCTGAGTTTATCACTGCCAAACAAATACATATACAAACATCCTCTTTTATACTTATAGATAAACTTACTCACTTCTCTATTTTCACCCCACACTGTAAATAAAACATGTGATTGGAGTTTCTTCCATTTGTTTTGATTTGGAGTTTCTTCCATTTGTTTTGATTTTCTGTTTATATTTCGTTGTTATTTCGTCACCAGCATGGCAACGCATAAGATCCATGTTAATTTTTTCAAATTTTTAAACTCATTTTTTGTGCTTATCTTTGAGCCTATTTAAATTTATAAAGGGATTCTGCACACCTACAGGAAAATAGCTTTCTAACGGTATGCGTAGATTTGCCCCACCCCAGTCAGCATAAAAATTGTTGGAAAAGAAAATAAATTGTTTCAAAATTGTTTCAAAATTGTTTCGAAATTGTTTTAAAATTGTTTTAAAATTGACAAATTTGGAATTTTGTCTATATTAAAATGAGTTTAAAATTGTTGTACAACAATTTCAAAATTGTTGTACAACAATTTTGAAATTGTTATAAAATATTTTTGAAGTTGTTTTAAAACAATTTTGAAATTGTTTTAAAATTGTTGTATAACAATTTTAAAGTTGTTGTATAACAATTTTGAAGTTGTTTGAAAATTGTTTTAAAATAGACAAATTTGGAACTTTGTTAGGGTTAATTTCTATTTGAGTTCATAGATAATAAGTACGCCTTATAAGCAACTAATTAAATATAACATTAATTGATTAGTTTACTATCAAAAACAATGGTGAATAAATAAAAACAAATAAGTATACTGAAATTCTTCTATTTGAAGTAAACAAATTAAAAAAAGTAGAGAAATAATAAAAACACAGTCTACTACATTCTGGAAAATAGAAATGGGTGCATGGATATAAAAATAAAATATTCATGGACAAACTTTAAGTACTCTACCAGCCAGCACAGAATAAATTATTATCTTTTCAATTGCAAATTTAACATTCATATATAGCAATCATTAGTTTGCCTAGGCCTAGACCTAATTATTTAGGAGGGCTTGTATAAACTAAGTAACAAACAATGAGGTTATAATAGCAGCAAATTATCATCATTCTAGTTTATAAGATTTAGATTGCTTAACGCATACAACTCAATAAATAAATATGGGGAACAAAAAAATATTGAAACCCAAACAGCCAACAATAAAAGACAAAGATACATGAAATGCAAGGATATGATTTTTTGAGACCAAGTAGGACTGTGTTATGATAAAAAATTAATGCAAACAACAATGCTCGTGGTTTTGTCAATTGAAAGATAAAATGTCCATAAAAGAGGATTTAACTTATAAAATAACACTGTATATTAGTTCGAAGTTTAATATGAAACCGTAAACAGTTTTGAAGGGAGTAGGCAACGGCCAGCGGCAAATTGAATCTTCAAGATGAAAGTACAAGTAAGAAGTTAAATTTAACAGCTAATATAAAACTATTATTCCCATGATCAAAAAGGTTTGGGATCTAATGATAATTACCCTAGTAATAAATAAATAAGTTGTCAAGGAATGACAGTGATACAACTTTTATGAGCTTTGCTACTGAGTCATAAGTTTTTTGAAGTACTTGACTTGATGTGATTGTCGAGATAAAATATTTATGGCTTTGAGATTGCTAATGTGGTTTCTATTGCATAATTACTCCATAGATTACTATGACTATTATGATTACTATATGATGACTATATAGATTACTATTAAAATGATGAAAATGTAAGCAAACATTTTATAAAAAACCTTTTATGTTCTTCTAACAAATTTTTATATCATACTTAAAATGGCCCACACAATTATTTAAGGACAATTACCACTAAAAATTACCCATATTTACTAAAAACAGTACATTTCAGTAAAAAAATAAGTTCATTCCCAGATTTCCCGGTTCGTAGACACTCTGACAATACATTATTTACACATCATTCAAGCGTCGGCGGCTTCACGATCCTCATCTTCCTGTTCTTCAGGTGCTCTTTGACACCCTGCCCTAAAATTATAACACACAGATTAATATTATATTTCGTTACTAGGGACCCCTGAATGTTTACAGCTGTTACGTTAAGCAAATGGCATTATAGCAAAAGCTAGTCTAGAATGTTGACGTCGGCAGCTTGACTTAAAAAAAATGAAAACTTAATTTCAAAAAAACTGAAACCCTAAACTGAAATTGTGCCTTTCACATTCCCTAGTTCTCAGAATTATCTTTCTTTCGACACAAAAATAGTGAAAATCTATCAAGTGGTAGATTCAGAATCGTGAAATAAAAAAACCCTGTCAAGTATTAATGATTGTTGCAGTATTTGTCTGAGATAAATAAAATCACCTGAGCTTTAGTATAACAATATAGCCTACTATCAAAACTGAAGCATCCGGAATTAAGAGAGAAAGCTAGTAGCATATTGTTTTGTTAGCCTATGTTTTTAACCTCACTAAGTGAATTTTGTAATACAAATTATCACACTATACATACCCTTTCTAAGTCTTTGATTTTAATTGTGTCTGTGGCAGCCATGAAGCAACTGATTTCTCTATTTTGCTTTGTTCAATGTTGGCCCATCTCTTTTTCGTCATTTCTTCAAAAAACAAAATGCATTTAATAGAACATTGCAAAAAAAATTTCTGCAATTTTTGTGGAGTTAACATTTATTAAAAATTATATAAAAAAATGAATAGCCTAACATGTATGTTTGCGCTCAATATTTTTTTATAATTTATAAGTCTACACATATTTTAAAATAGCCACTTTGTTCTAAATTTTATAAGGATTAGGCCTACAAAAATATAATAATATAAGGAAGAAAAATTGAAAATAAATAAGTTATGGGTGAAAAACAGATTTCGTACATTAAGCGTTAGCTAAGAATGCATAGCCTAATCATAGCTAGGAATCTGGCCGATAATTTACATCAATATCACTACCTACTTCTTCAGGATCATCAACCAGCCCTTCAAAATCACTTTAATCTTCTTATAATTAAATTCTTATAATTTTAACACTAAGACAATGGAAACGTTTAATAAAACACATCAGTCATCGGTGGTTAACCAAGCTGTTTACAAATACGCACGTCAGCTGCCTGGTAAAATATTTTTGGAACTAAAATGAAAAGCGTCTAGAAACATACATCAGGAGAAAGCTTAGAATCTGCCGAAAACGATACCAATCTTGATCCAGTTCAATCTGATTAAGTCAGTCCCAGAGCCTTCGCCATAAACGATGTTTGTGTGTCGCAAAAGCGACGCATAACACCACGGCGGATGTGTTGTGCATCGATTACGCGATGCTTAACACTCGGAGGGCTAAATTATGAGTTAACCAAGTTTCAAGGTCTAGTAAGTTAACATATTTATAAACTTAACTTATAGTTGAAAAACCCCTGCAGCCCTTAACACAACAAGTTTAAAAATAGGCTAACTTAACTTAAATCAATCCCTAGCTGATGTAACTTAGCTAGGCCTAAGCCTAAATACCTAGTCATATTACTTTTAAGCAGTTACCGCATTAGGCGACAGGCCCTACAATGTCATTTTCTATTTGAGTTGGGGACGCCACCTAAGTGAGTAATTCAATTCAATTATGAGTTTATAAACTTAATGTTAGATGTCTTGTGTAAGTTAGGTCTAAGTTATTTTAGTTTTGGTTACTGTAAATCCAACTGTATCATTTAGCAACGACCATTTACTAAAAACCCAACGGTAACTTACAGTTTCAGTAACATAGCCTGTTATATTTATGAGAAACAAAAGGAAATTCATAAGAGTTTGCTCACATAGGCTAGGCCAATTCTAGAGATGGGCCATAATCATGTTACCTACCAAATACCTATCAAAGTTATTGGTTAACTTAGACCAGGAACTATTGGAGTACCTCTATTTCATTTTAGGTTAGGCCTATATGTTAGTTTAGAATAACTGAATCACCACTGACTGAAAAGGCCTAAGTAAGTTATAACTCACCTTGTTTGCTGCTTAAGAAGCTATGTAGGATAAAAACAGTAAACTTAATGCACCTAATAACTTTTAAAACAAACAAAATGCCGTGATGCCCATCAGCCCGTGATCATGATCAAATATCAACATCAACAGACTGGAGACTGCTGTAGTCAGTGAACTGCGAAACTCTGGTAGAGTCTAGAGTAGATGATACTTGTAAGAATGTTAAAACTCATCCAGTATACTTATACAATTACAAATAATAAATAATTTATTTTCACTACTGTTAACCTGTTGTTATTAACCATTAAACAGGGGTGCCCATCCCCCCCTAGACTCATGACGCACCCCCCCCCCAATTTAGCAACAACCCCCCCCCCCACCATAAAGGATGTACACAACAAAATGAGAAACATTATTCCCCCGCCCAGCACTATTTCTAAAACTATAAAAGAAGTTTTAAATTTTTTTTTAGATATTTAAAATTTAAACCCAGTTAATCTATATAAATAAAGTTATAGTTTTATCTGTACGTTGCTCAGAATTATACATATTTTTGGTTATTTTTACGTTTTATACATTGAAGAAGTTGAAACATGTCTTATCTCAATTTATGTCCGTCTGCCATGGCCCAGAAGGCATTTAGGCCTACTCTAAAGAAAACTAGAGTACCGATTATGAATGAAAATGAAATAATATTTTTTATTTCCCATTAATTACATACATATAAGTACATTGTTTTTTCTTTACTTAAATATTATACAGCAAACATTATCAACTAGATTACAAAATAAAAATTATATACTGTAGAAATAAAGCGAACAAAAGTGTAAAAAAAACAAATACCTACTACTGTATAACAAAGGAAAAAGTCTACATAGGCAGGGCCTGTGCGTAGGACTCGTTGCGAAGAGGTTAATTTAGATGGGAGGTGAAAAATGTATAAACAAAAATAATTCGTATAATTTAAATTTTGTTATATTTGTCTTGCTTGAAACTGAATTTTTAGTGTTCTGGCATTAAATTGACGATAAAAAAAAACTCTTTGTGTGATTCTAATGGTTTAATTGTATTTACAGGATTGGCGAGAGTGTCCTTATAGCCATTAAAATATGGCCTCACTATTTTGGAAATAAAAAAACGGACGATCAAAAACCCACTTTTGTGTGATTTTTCTAGTTTATTTTCTCCATGTTTACTACATACATACGTCATTTATGAAATACTAATAATCTGTTAAGAGAAGACGTCATATATGAAATTACAAACAGCTGTTTTGATAAAGATTCCTTTTTCTAGATGTCATTGATATGTTTACATAAATGTTGTTTACGAACACTGTGTAGGCCCTAACCATTTCCGATCACGTTTGTAAGCAAATCCAAAACCAAGTGAGATTAATAACCGCGTGGCTTTGGCTTACATAACGGGTTTGATTTATCACGGGTATAATATGTAACTGTAAATGAAATTAAATAACTAGCCATCATCCAGGTCGGGAACCGGAGATTCTGTGTTTCAAGTTGTACTTGAATTTTGATTACCTACCGCCTACCGGGAAAAGACTTATCTTTCTATATAAATAAAATTACAGTTTTATAAGTCACCTCAATTTAAGGAATTTTTATTGGCAGAATATCCATATAGCGTTCGTAACCTTTGCTTAACGAATTGTCAGCGTCTTTCTCTTTATAACGATCCCCTCTCCCTCCCTTTAGAAACATTACAGCTCCTTTGATGAAAATGAAATGGAAACAACGCTTGCGCCAACAATCGTCTGCTCCGTTTTACACTTCTGTCTGCTGTGCGCTATGTTACAACAGATTTCAGATACAACAGCTGGGGAATGATGACGATATAATGCTTAGTAAACTGTGATTGAGTGATTAGTAACCATGTTAACTTTAGTAAGGCTGTGATTGGGCAATGAGTAGGCCTAAATATGGCGACTTGTTGAATTTGCGTATGAATTGAAGAGAAACGTATTAAAGAACAGAAGAACAAAGAAAAAGAATAACAAGATTGTTCTCATTACATTTTTTTTAAGAGTGTTTAAATTATCTCTAAATATAATTTTACACTTTTTTTATTACTTATCTATAAATTCCTATGCTGTGATACAGCACCTATCGGTAGCCTAACTCTGTCTATCATGAGATGTACCTTATAACAGGTCCCTTTAATATTTACGTTATTTATAGCAATGAAGTGTTTGGCTAGTTATTAGTTGAGTTTGAGTTAGCTATACTTTTAAACGTTGCCGTTTGTACAACTGAACCAAGATAAATGATTTGAAATTTACAATAAAATTGTTATTGCACAATAATAATGATTATGCAATATGGAATTTCGTTTATAAGAATGCAAATCGTATCGTTAATGGTTGTTTACAGCATTTTAATGGGTTTGTCATCTTTTATACTATATTGGATTAACCGTATTTTCCATTACTCCCCCTCCCTATTAACTCAGGTAATCGAGTATCTACACAATAGTGTAAAGTATTGTAGCCTATGCTACTTGATTGTATTTTAACGAGCTTTATGTCAACAAAGTGTTCTGTGCTAAGTCCCGGTGTAGCTGGACGTGTCTGTACCACGCGTTATCTTTTATCTATCACAGCAGTTAAGCTATTCCGTGCGCTCCCTCTTAGATCTCACGTCTTGCTAATCTTGAATAATAACTTTCTATACGAATCCTAAACCATCCTAAAATCCTATTTTAACTAATTAAATTCAATAATATAACTATTGTCATTAATTAATCTACTTTCTATCTGGCGACTTCGTAATATATTTTTGATCGTCGTCATGTTGAACACTGTTGCAATTAGCTTTAGCCCCCCCCCAATTTGAATTTTTTGAGCCCCCCCCAAGAATTTCAATGACGCAGTCTGCGTCACAGCCCCCCCTTGTGGGCACCCCTGCATTAAACTTATACAGGCCGCGCAATTGATGGTCTAGGTCTAACTTGAGTTTGGCAGTCTGCCCCTCCTCCATGACTCTTTCACTTGATTTTACCACTATCGTACTGTATTTTAATCAAAATCGCGGGGAGCTGTCGTTGCTGACGCATTGGCCACATACAATGAATACACAAACTAGTTTGTGTATTCATTGCCACATACACACAGCACAACACACTGACTATTATCCTACAAGTATAAGTGTCCCATAAGGAAAAATAGAAAAAATGTGCGAAAGATTTAAAATTTGGGCGAAAAAACACGAAAATCATTATAAATCTTTTTACAAAACAGACCATTTCAAGATTATGGATGGCCATTGTAATTTTTGTAACTTATATTACTGAAAGGAAAGCCGCTTTCATAAATATAATATCCAGAACATTTTGGTTTTATAACATTAATTATTATTTTAATGATTTTTAGAAGTTGCATTTAAATTGGTTTAAAACTATTTTAAGACTGTTGTAAACTTATATCAATACAATTGTGATACGTGTTTTCGAAACATTATTAAAATTGTTTCAAAACTATTTTAAAACTGTTGCAAACTTATATCAAAACAATTTTGATATGTGTTTTCGAAATAGTATTAAAATTGTTTCTAAACAATTTTAAAACTGTTGCAAACTTATATCAAAACAATTTTGATATGTGTTTTCGAAATAGTATTAAAATTGTTTCTAAACAATTTTAAAACTGTTGCAAACTTATATCAAAACAATTTTGATATGTGTTTTCGAAATAGTATTAAAATTGTTTTAAAACAATTTTAAAATTGTTGCACACTCATATCAAAACAATTTTAATATAGTTACTAACCATCTATATTAAAACAATTTTGAAATTGTTTAAAACTTATATTAAAATTGTTTTATATCCAAACTTATTTTGAAATTGTTGCAAACTCTTTTAAAATTGTTGTACAACAATTTTTTTGGCTTTTCAACAATTTTTATGCTGACTGGGACGATGCACACGAGCTGAGAAAAAAGGTTTTAAAGAAACATGCTTGCCTATTAATATACCTTCTACCTCCACGATACCAACTCAATGGAATTTAACTTGGAATGAAAACATAGACTGAATCTTCGATTTCAGATATGAAATTTTTTATACAAACGTAATTCCTATGTTAGAGCCTGAAAGAGTATATATCCTGAAATATAATTAGCAAGGTTCAAATATGCTGAATAAATAAACAAGGAAAATTGATTGAGAACGACTTCTATCCATTGTTCTAAGAGATATGCATAAAACACTGATTACAGCATCTTAGCAGAAGAGCATTCGGATATTGTTAGTTTAAATAGTGTAAAATTGTTTAAGACATAACATTATGGTATTTCATACATAGAAAGTGCTGTATACAGACGTCAAACTTGTAGTGTAGAGCGTCATTCACTTTGAGTTTGTTAACAGTAGCTTAAAAAAAAAACTAAAAACGCCAGAATAATATTCCGCCACCTAGCTGTTAAGCTGGGTGGTGTGTTTACTGTATTTGTTTGGTATAGTGTTCAGTGGATAACATCTTCCCAACTATTGAAAAAAACCATGTCACCTGCAGAAACTCTAGTGAATAAAAGTATGATTTTTATCGTTGTGACACTCATGTACATGAAGAACATATTTACATATATACATTATATACATTGAAGACATATTTTATCAACTATTGTTATCTATAAGCAACCCAAAAAGATAATTTTCAGTCAAAATGTACCATGATTGATCCCAAAACCACTATTGTACACAATTGTCATTCCAACTGCAATTTGAGTAATTCACCCAAGACGTATATACTGTAGGAAATTAGTTTCTCTGGAATGGAGCATCTACCCTTCTACTGTCATTGGCGTATCTTGAAATGTTTAATAGCGGGCATCCCTTGAATCTGTGAATTACAAGGGTCTCCCTGCGTGTCGTGTATGTACGTGTGTGTACGTGTGTACACGTTATACGCATGCAAGCGTGTTTGTATGTTTGTATGTGTGCGTGAGTGGCGGCGCGGCGCTGTAGCCCTTGGGGCATGTTTGGAAACAAGCTGCAAGATTTACAAACATTCTTCTGTACAAGAATGTGCCGCTGTCCGCCCTCCTGCGTTGTAATAAATCCCCAGCTATTATAACAGCTAGGCTATTCTGTATGGTAAATAAAGGATTCAAATTAAAATAATTTATAGTTTTGTTAACTTTTTACTTTAAAGCACAATAAATACGTCAAATAACACTTGTAATAATATATTTACACTTATACTGTTTAATCACAAGACGGTAAATACATATAAAAGATGTTAATGGTTATCGATTTCGATTGGACACTTTGATTGGACCACTCCAATCGAAATCGATCACCACTCACAATCTTTTATATGTATTTACCGTCTTGTGAGTAAACAGTATAAGTGTAAATATATTATTATTAATAGTGCTATTTGACGTATTTTTGTCCTTTCAGGTAATTTAATAACATGTACGATGCTGATAAAGAAGTTATTTAACCTTTTACTATAATATTTTCATTGATCTGGCAATACGTTCGACTACATTTACTGAATTTTAATATCACTTGCTTCCACAAAAGGAGGTGTTAACTCATAAAGCTAGAAGTATTAGTTTAGCTAATAGATCATGTTAATATTTATAAGTAGTAGCCATATAAAAACTATAACATAGACTGAGCATATTCCCTTTAAAATGTACCATCCTTATGGATAAACTGGAGACAACTACAAGGTATGCTTATGCCTATTGCATAAACTTATTTCTTGTCTTAACCAGATTTTGGCACTATTTAATTGAAATAACATATTCTAATGTATGTAAACAAAACTGCTTATGCAATGGTTGGCCTATTACAACCAAAAACATAAATCACTTGTCATCCCTAAGGTAAACTCTTTCTTCAAATATTGAAACCATTAATTTAGTGTACATCAGCGAACTTAAAGGTTAATACGAAACACCCAATAAAATATGGGTCAGACTTAACAATTGGATGAAAGATCTGCTTATAAAATGCTATAATGATACCGAATTACAATTGAAATATACACTACAAACGGATGTTGAGTAAATGCTATCAAACGTTGTAAGTCTTGACGGCGAAGACATATAGTATTAAACAACTACAACAACAAGCAACAACAAACAACAGTAAGCAAATAAGGTTTTTATGCACTCTTCTAAGAGTATTAATTTCTAACATAAATATACTTATGCAAAAATATTCAACATAATACGAGTATACCCATACCGTGTGTACTCTCTGCACAATATCTGGCGCCAGATTACACTGCAACAACAGCTGGACGATGAGGAATCAACGATGCAATTCTATTTTAAATGACACGCTGCACGCTGACTCCCCAAACAGCAATTTCAGAAGCGGAATATTTGTGTGTTGATTGTGTTGCAATTGGGTTTTCGCGGGAATCATCAGCTTCTTTGGCCGACCTCTAATATCCGGAAGGACCCGCAAACCCGGGTTATTTACCGACCGCGACGCCATATTGATAATTCGCGGCTTTTCGTCATCCACAAACCACGGTTTCCTAAATACTTTTCCCCTTTTTCTCGTTGGTTCGTTGTTTGAACTTTTTCCAATACAGAGAATTGTATCCTCACTTTGAAGTAGTGTATATGCTTTTTAGGTTATTTATAGATGGACGTATTGTTGAAATGGGCTCCGGGATACTAAGTCGTGTAAACGTCACATTTATGAAAGTAATTGGCCATTGAGGGGGATTTGAACATGTGACTTCAAGTCATAAATCTTGCACTCTAACTACTACACTAGGGATTCTCAAAATTCAGTAGTCAGTCCTTCTTGTAGAGATGCGTCAACTTTTTAAACAAATTGTATATTTAGGTATAGCTATTGTGTCAATAGACAAAGGAAACAATTTCTCAACCAATTTATGAATCTTGTATCGGCCTAAGCAACAACAAATAGGAACGAACACAATTCGTGGAGTTTTACTACTAAATACTTAAATTGTAGTGTTTTTTAAATTTCTATTAGCCCCTTAGTATTTGGAACATTAACAATGATTAATTATTTAACTTTTCATCCAATGGGGATTTTAGGCAAAGGACTGATAAGTATTGAATAATTCTAACGAAGCAAAAGTCAGTTAAATATTCTAGACTATTTCCATAATTATTGTAAACTCACTGGTCTTGGACCTAGGTTCCCGGGGTCCGTCCACGGTGACCTTGATGGCCTTGTTGTAGGTCGTCACTTGAGGAGGGTTGCAGGATATCGTGATAGTCAACGTGAAGCTCTTCCCTGTAACACAAAACTAAAGTTAAAAAAATTAGAAAATTCAGTGACTATCTTCACTTTTCCAAAGACGCTATGCAAAAACTTCCCTGTTAAACCCACAAGATTGATATCATAGCATTTAACAAAATGTAGTCACTATCGCTAGAAAAGTAGCCGAAATACTACCTTATTTTGACTTGTTTCTTATGTTACTTATGAAACCGTTGTTTTAATGCTGCTATTTTCTGAGCAATGACTTATTGAAAGCTGGGCTGATATCAATATTCACCCTGACGGTAAGAACATGTACTCATAGTCCTACTCCACGAATAAAAATAAAGTGATGTGTTTTTTACTAGACTTGAGGTAACCCGGAGTATCGACAAAGAACCTATTTTAAAATAAACTTAAACTTAAGTATATTTACTATATTTTTTAAAACTCGCAACCCGAAAAAGTGGCAAGTTTAACAAAATTTCTCAGATGTTGTAATTAATTATTGTAGATCTTATCATGCTTGGTTAAATTCATCATTCTACAATGCATTGACTATTTTCAATGCTAGTATAAATATAAGATTTTAGATCTGTGGCAGGAAAAGCTACTAAAATACTATAAGTAATGACGTCTTTTTATGACAACAATTTTGTTGTTGTAAAAATTGAAAAGATCAAAATGAATGTTTTTAATTTAAAATATATATTTACCATTGTACCCCTAAATGTATGATGAAATGCTTTTATTTCACATGTTTTAAAGAGTTCCAATAAATCGCTTTCTGCAACATTTAAACATTCCATTATATTCCTTTAGACATCAATTTAACCACTACTACTGAGATTATTCCTACATTATTTATAAATTACGTTAGAAAATGTTGACTACCTTTAGAATAATTTAATTTTGGTTTAGTATCTAAAATATATTTTTAAGGCCGAACAAAAATTAAAATTTAAATACAATTGTTCAAAGAAAATATCACAAAAAAATCTATTACGCACAATTAAATATTTCTAAAAAAATATATAATTATCAGGCAGCATTCATTTTAGATTTTTTTTATAATTAGGTTGTTAAAACATTTTTTCTTACTTTGTGTCAAAGAACTCTTTATTTTTCTATCTGTTTTTAAAAACAACGCGGGTGACACGAACCAATGGCCCGCATTTTCATCCCCGATGCAGCCACAATAAACGATTGGGGTGCAATGTATTTGTTTAAAAAATGCTTGTTGGAATTCTTTCATCATTTCCTCTTTGAAAATTTGATTTATTCCGACTCTGATGTTCAAATTTCTTTCATACCCGAGTACTTCTTTATCAATTAATTATACTTGTAACGGACTTACTTCACTCTATACTTATAATAATTTACTTTACTTAGTAGGCTACCATAAACATGTGTTCACCTGTTGACTGGCTCTAATTAAAAATATATGGAAATGATGGTTAGGATATAATTTTCTGGGATCTTTACCGATCAACATGTAAACATATATGAATGGAATTGTTTGGTTACTGTGTATGTTTTGGAGGTTGGTTCCGTTCGGATCATAATCGAACCGCGTATTAAATATCTACTATATGATTTACATAAGGAGTAAACATGATGTAAATATTTCAGTAGATGGTTTTAAATTAAACATTGAGAACATAGCTAAAGTAACTTTAAGTCTAGTTAATTTTTTCATTATTTATTTATAGTGAGGTTTCGACAAAGGTTGATTGAGAGTTTACTACTTTTAAACATTATTTAATATTAAGCATTCTGATAATGTCTAATTATCTCTTTGTTTTTGTGAACAAAACTCCTGCATTATTTCTGGACCGATTGTAAAGTTTGAGGTGTCAAATAATTCGTCTCAGTTTGTAGTTTTGCATAAAGGTTTTAGAATTTAAAAACTCTTACCCTAAAAGGCAGGTTGTGTCCATTTTGTGGCCGTCCATTTACCGGTCAAGGGTAAAATCGTAAAGGGCACGAGACGCTCTCAAAGGTCGCATTTCCCCCATAAGAATTACATTGAAAATAAATTTAAAAAGAAAAACAGCTGTATATAAAAAGAAACTCACCAGCTTTTTGGGAGTAAATATTGATGTTTGTAATATTTAGGAGGTTACAGACAAATCTAAACAGTCAACCAGTTTTGTCCTGAAGAACAGGCAATTTCTTGAGTTTAAAGGAGAAATATTGAAAACAGGAGGATGAGACAATTAATAGGAAATCGTATACGTATGAGAAGAGTAGGAGAGGCCTGGACTCACAGTAAGGAATCCAGGTACACAATCACTTTGGGAGATGAATCATCTTTGCCAGTTATGCTAAGCAACTTATTTTGGAAGTAAAAAAACCCATGAAGAATATACACATCATGTTGTCACAGTGGTAAAGTAAACCTATCTAAATTCAGATCAAATAAATACATGCAAGAAATGTTTACTGGTAACAGCTTTAAGTCGGGAAACATTTGTGAAAAAAACTTAAAAAACACTAAAAAAATAAGGCCGGGTCCAAAAAAATCTAAAATATTTTTACAAGAAGCGTTTATTATTTCAAAGCGCTATTAAATAGCGTGAGTATTTCAATTAGTTACATAAGCATTTAGTCGGGTCTTTTAAACTTATCGAAAATGATGACTGTTATTACTGTAGTTTTAAAATAACTTCTCGGTACTTAACAATTGTAACAGGTACAGTATTAGTGATTATGTTTATCACAGAGTATGATCATTTCTTAACTATAACTATTTGTCTCATTCAACACTAGGTGGATTGTTCTGGTTTTAATACTCGATATTTATAACTTACCGCACCCAACAAACTGCACTTATTTTCGAATGCCTTTTTAATTTTAATAAATATATTTAAAAAATCCAATACCAACTTTTAAAAGATAGTGTTTGAGTAGGAGCTATTCAGTTTCTTATGTCAAGTGTAGGCTACATGGTGTTTTGCTTTCAAAAGATAAATTTCTGGCTATTTTTACTAAAGTAAAATCTTCAACACGTCCTATTCTTAAAACAAATCGGTGTAAATATTCGGCCTCCACAACGAACAGAACAAATAAATAATATTCAAAGCCACATTAATACTAGATTGAGCGCAAAGTATTAACTGAATATTTCAATATTAAATTATATTCAAATATTCAAAGTTTCAATTTTAGGTATGAGGTAAGATATTTTAGATCATGATTGTAGTATATATTTAGCAAACTAATAGTAAACCAATTTTAAAGTTATTATAATTATTATAAATTCTGTATTCATATTTTAATCTTTAATAACTTTTTAATGTTAGTATTTTTATTTTCATTTAAATTTACAAGAAGAAAACACTATTTTACATCAAGTGTATAACAAACTTTTCCACTTAGCCTCTACACAAAAAACATGACAATGTCCATTACCACTACATTAAAAATATTTAATAACTGTACAAAACGTCAGCGAAAACCTCAAATAAAGTGCGAGCTGCGTTGATCTGTGCAGTCGGAGTTATTAAAAGAGTTAATCAATGGACGTTTTTCCATTAAAAGCCATTCGGCTCAATAAAAGTGTTTAGTGTTTTGTGTGAGAGTGTGGTCGGTGCAGTGTGGCGACGCTACGCTACACGTCACCATGGTTACCACCCCCTGTACCCCCTCTCCACACTAGTAGGACATCACGAATGACACCGCTTTTCACACGGCCCACTGTCGGTGTATTGGTGACACGGTTTATCAATTTTTGTTTGCCAATTTTTCACCGGTAACACAACCTTGTTTTTCAGTTGGTCAAACGGAAAAATAATAATACTGGGACGTGGCGTTGTCCTATCCAGCTGTGGTCACGAATTGTGGATATTTATAGGCATGCACTGTGGATGCGATACCTGGGGTGGATTAACGTCGCTAGAGAGCGCTACGACTATCCACAGTACTATCCTGATAATTAGACTGATTCGTAAATTACAAGCCAAAAGTGTGGTTCGGGTTCCACTATAGTGGAACCCAATATGCGCCGGGCACTTATGGCCCGGCGCATATTGAGACGCAGTCGGAGCAGCGCAGCGTAGTGCAGCGCAGGGCAGTGTTTTGTAAACCACATGTTTGCTAGGAAACGCGCATATAATGGAGCAGCGCAGGGCAGGGCCACAGACAAAGTATAAGTGCTATTGTTATTGTCTGTGGCATGGCAGTGCAGTCCCGCACGTGGACTGCGCGCACTTGTGGTCGAGTCACAAGTGTCTGTGCCGCATTGCTCACCTGCGCCGGATTGACTAGTGTTTTGTGACGGATCTAGAGGATAATTAATAGAAATTGTGCGTTTTTATCCAGTTTTTACGTTACCAGTCATAGTAAGTATATAAAGAGTAATTACAAGAATGAAATCTGGCAGAAAATACGAAAATTACTAAATATTGTAAAATTTTTCGCCCTTTCTTTCTTGTTCTCTGGTGAAGAAGTAACAATAAATCTAGATCAGCACCTGAATCTGACTTAGAACAGAAATGCTAAATTTAACAACATGTTCACACAAGAACTGTGTCACTCCTATACGAGAACTGTACGACACTGCTTCCCAATATGCGATGTCAACTGTGCAACACAGACTTTTTGCCCAATTCTGCCCTGTGCTGTGCTGCACTGCCCGGACCGTGCCGCACAGCTCAATATGCGCCTGGGCTAAACTGTAGGTCCCTTGGTTGCTATAGGCAGTATGGCCTATCAAATAACAGTTCTGTCTAAGGAACATGTCGGCCTTCAAGACTACAAGATCACGCATCACGCTCCCATCCTACACTCATCTTCATTCATACTTGGCTTAAAATACATTCTTAATGTCGCCATTTCAGTAAAAAATATTAAAAAGTATTAGACTCATTATTGTATTAGCTAGTTGGTAAACTCCTATATTAATTGAAATGGAAAAATTAAAAGTGGTCAGAGCACAATTTTGTAAGCATAGTCTTAGTTTTGTTTTTGATGAGTTTTTGGTTTGATCCTTTTCCTAAAATCCAAGCTCGTGAAGTTTTAAATTAAATAAT